TGGAGCTCCAGGTGCAATGGTGCTGGAGCTGCTGCAGGTGTTGGAGAAGATGAAATATAAAAACCTCATCAATATGATTGCCTGGTAAAAGATTTTGGGAATATGGAAACTATAAGTGAGATTGAAATGAAAGCAAGCTTTGAGATCCCTCAGTTACTGAACAACTGGAAAACAATGGTGTGACTGCTGAAGGTGATCCCCTTTTGATGGAACAACACCCTCCGCTTGCAGACAGCTCCAAGGGTCAGAGCAGACCCTGCAGCTTGGCAGAAGGGGCCAAAGAGGAGATTTTAGGGTTTAAAATGTAACACAGTGTGGTAAGGTAATGATTCTTATAGGCTGTATGGAAATGCTGTAGGATTTGTATCTTGTACTGGATTGGTTAGTGAGAATTAGAATATTGAACACAGAAGAAGATTTATGGTATTGGAATGGGAACCTCGCTCTCTTAGCTCTTACCCCTTTTACTCTCTCACCCTCTCATCCTCTCAACCCTTCTCTCAGGCCTGCTCTGAGCTGTGCCTGGCAGCTCCCAGCAGGGCCCTGCACCCAGGCCCTTTGCAATAACCCCAAATTCCATGACCAGAAGAAGATTTATTGTATTGTAACAGGAACCTCACCCTCTGATCCTCTCTTTTACTCTCTCATTCTCTCTTTACCACACTCTATCTCTCTCCCTCTTTGGGGCTGCTCTGAGCTTGCCTGGCAGCTCCAAACAAGGCCCCTGCACCCAGGCCCTTTGCAATAACCCCAAATTCGATGACCAGAAGAAGGTTTATTCTATTGTAATGGGAAATTTCTTTCTCATCCTCTTTACCTCTCTATCTCTCGGGCCTCCTCTGAGCTGTGCCTGGCAGCTCCCAGCAGGGCCCTTTGCAATAACCCCAAATTCCTGACCTGGCCTCAGAGATCTCCCATCTCCATCCATCCCAACCGTGCTACCCCCCAACACTTGTACATGCAGGGGCAGCACTGGAGCTGCTGCAGGTGCAATGCTGGAGCTGCAGGGGCAGCACTGGAGCTGCAGTGGTGCCTGGCAGCCCCAGGTGTGGCTCAGGTGTCCCTGCAGGTGACAGCAGCTTTGTGTTGCAGCATCGAGCGCATCATCACACCCCGGCTGGCGCTGACCACGGCCGAGTTCCTGGCCTACCAGTGTGAGAAACACGTGCTGGTCATCCTGACAGACATGAGCTCCTATGCTGAGGCTCTCCGAGAGGTGTGTGTGTGCTCATTAAGGTGTTAATTAATGGGGGTGTCGGCAGAAAGGGGTGCTGGGAAGTGAGGATCCAAACTGTTCATTGGGATGGTTGGGAGCAGCCGGTGAGGATTTTAGCTGGTCCTTGCTTGGCTGGGATTTATTTCACTGGTGGTGATTCCAACCCTGGAAATGTCCAAGGCCAGGTTGGACACAGGGCTTGGAGCAGCCTGGGACAGTGGGAGGTGTTCCTGCCATGGCAGGGGTGGCACTGGATGACATTTAAGTTTTTTTCCAACCCAAAGCACCCCATAATTCCATGAATCAGCAGTTTGATACCCTAATTCTGGATTTGCCTTGTCCTGTCACAAAGCCACCCTTAAGGTGTTAATTAATGGGGGTTGGAGCAACCTGGGATGCAGCCTCCCTTTTTTATCCCAATTTCCAGCCACATTTCCCTTCTCTTTCCCCATTCCTGAGGTACTTGAGAGGTTCAGACTCCCCAGAACACCTGATCCCAAAGATTCCCCTCTAATGTATGACCCTTCCTTTTCATTATTAATTCTTAATGAATTTAGGGGGGTTTTCCCCATTATCTGAGGCATTTGAGAGGTTCAGACTCCTTGATACACCTGATACTGAAGATTCCTTCAAGATTTCTTTCTCCCTTTTAATTTTTAATTCTTTCAGAATTTACAGACTTTTTCTTCCCCTTTGTTTCTTTCATCTTTCAATGTCTCATTTCATTTATCAGCAAACCTAAAGTTCATTTATAAAAGCAAATCTCTTTTTCCATTCATCAATCAGTGGAATCCTTCCCATTGTTTCCTTTATTTCCTAGTGCTGGTTTTATCTCCCAAACAACTTGTTTGCAAAGACAAACCCACCATTCCTCTCTTCACCTAAAACTATATTTTTACGAGAATTAATACAGCATAACTTTCTAACCCAACACATATAATATTCATTTGAATATTTCCCAAAAGCTAATAATTAAATCCTCATTTTTTTTCACATTTTTGTGGCTCCTCCAGGTGTCAGCAGCTCGGGAGGAGGTGCCTGGGCGCCGAGGTTTCCCTGGCTACATGTACACCGACCTGGCCACCATCTACGAGCG